AAGATACTACTCTATTGCCCTGCCCCATTGTCTTCTTCATCACCCTCCTCATCCGAATCAGTAAGGGGATCAGGCTCCTTTCCCGCCTCCCGATAAGCAGCCCGTTGTAAGTCTCTTTGATATTTCTCATATTGAGCTTCGACTATGGGCGCCTGAGGGAGATCAGTAAGCTCGACCGGCCTCCCTAGCAATTCTTGGAATTTGGCGATAAAGGGAGCCATGATGTGCTGACAGCCCATGACGTACAGAGATCGAGCCAGGGAATCATTAAATTTTTTCCCCCTGGGGTCCTGATCGAGCAATTTGACCCCCTCGCTCCGACGGGCGTCACCTGTGGAAAAATGGTCAAGATAATCACCGAAGGTGACTGGGAGTTGCTGCTGTGCGAAATCTTTCTTCAAAATAGCAAACTCATCAGACCCTTTAAATGACTCCCGAACGGCGGACAGGTCAACCTGTATTTCAGCAGGGCCGTCCGGGATGCGAGGGGCATGCTCTTCGAATTTAACCAAGGTAGCTTCTGCAGCATGGACCTTGGACTGAGAAATTCCGAGTTTTACCCGAAGCTCGCCAAGCTCCGATTCAAGACGTTTATTCTCCTCAGTATGGGCCTTCCGCTCGGCCTCTAGGGCAGCAAAAGCAGCTGCTGCATTCTGCTCCGCGAAAAACTCTGAGCAACGATTAGCTCCCGCTCCTTGGCCAACCGAGCTTCCTTCAGCTGCAGGCTATAAAGCCCAACCTGCGGAATGACATTCAGGGAATGAAATGGGGAAGAGAAATTGTAGATTAAGAAAGATTTAAACTATGGAATGGCAAGATACCTTCAGAGCTGCCAAGGCAAGGCATTCCTCGGACTGCTCGATCGATAACTTAGGGACGGTGAAATTGTTGAAGAAGGCGGAGGTAGACCAGATCTGACTTGCCGAACAGCCACCTCTTTCCACAACATCATGAACCGGATCCGCCAGGGAAATCCGGTCAACCTGGCCAGATAACTGAACGGTGGGAGTTTCACCCGTACCCTGGCCGGCTTCTGGAGCATCTTGAAAATGCTCGGAAAATTGCTGCAGTTGATCAGAGCCAAACCGATCATCGACCAGCATGGCATCGAATTGATCCTGATGGACCTGCTGTATCGGCTGTGGCTCTGGAAGCGGTTGAGAAGACCCAGCATCCTGGGCAGGAACAGTAGAGGGAGTAGGTTGGGGGTTCTTCCTGGCCTTTTTTCGCTTACCGACCCCACCAGCTGCCATAACTCTGCTGTTGTCCATAGGTAGATCTGGGTTTTGTGCTGAAAAAAGACAAAAGAACAATGTTAGTATCGAGCGACCTTAGCGTGTGAGAAACTAGAAAAAAGAACAAAAGAACGTTTCTCGCACGGGAAGGACCGCCCGGACCATGGCACTTGGTTTCTCAAAACAAGTAAACCCAAGAGAACGGGCAGTACCTATCCCGGCTGTAATAAGTCGTTCAGGAGTCAGATAACTCATGATGTCCATGCATTTATCCTTCTCCACGGCAAGTACGTCCTTGTAAATTTCTTCAGTAAGGACAGGATCAGGAGTCTTGCGAGGAAAGGCATTCCATTTGCGGGGAATTAGGCCGTCCGGGACAGACACGAAGAAAAAACGGTCTTTCCACCCTTTAATTGAAGTTGGATTTCCTTTAAACAGGATGTGTCCCGTTCGGGCACTGGTGGCCAGATAACCGTGGGTTTGTTGGGGGGCTACTTTGAAGAATTGATGGAAGAGATCTAGGGTTGGTCGGGCACCGGCATCTTTGCAACGACAAATGAACCCCGCCATTGCCCGATAGGAGTTCGGCATAATCTGGGCCGGTACAACTTCGTAGAAATTGAAGAAAGAAATGAAAAAGGGGTGTAGCGGAAATCTAAGGCCGGCCCTAATCGAGTCAAAGCGGACTATGGTCATTCCGGGCCTATGACGCATTGGGTGAAGCCCGGCTTGCAAACGGAAATCCACCGGATCAGGGATAAGGGCCGGAATTTCGGCCCTATTGTGAGAAGTCAATTTTTGCCTCCTCTCCCTAATCAATTTTAGGTCAAGAGTATGGCGAGGAACATCGTTGGGACGTCCGGCCGCCATGGAGGCTATTTCGTCCTCGGATTTGGTGTCATCAGAATCCTCACTGGAGGAAGAAGAAGTGCTAGGGAGGTCCTCCGCCTCAGCCCTGGTATTCGTCGCCGTCTCAGTAGAAACACCGGCAAACGGAACTGGGATGGCATCTACAATGGCGGTGTCACGGTCATCTCCATGAGAGGCCATCTCCAAATCAGAAGAATGCTCTGTGGGGCTCATCTCGATCGAAGCCAGAAATGAAGATGGGGAATCCAAGGTTGGGAAATTACCTGAGCAAGGGAAGCAGGGGGAAATTTGCAGAGGAAACAACGAAGGCCAAGGAATTGCAGAGTCGAAACCCGGAATTGAGGAGTTAAGGGCTAATTTATAAGCCTTGAAACCGCCGTGTCAAGAACCAATCAGAGAGCAACACATCACTAGGGGCATTTAAGCTAGACACGCGTCTAATGAAAAGACTAAACGACGGTTATCATGATGAATATGGGGAAATGAAGCGGCAGCCGTCAAATCGCAGCATGGGGAACTAGTTACTTCTGTACCCCGATCGCCATTCGGGGTATTATGACATTGGTATACTTCCTGATGCACTCACTTCGTTCGAGACATCGGAAGTGGGGGACTTGTGTTGGGATATTGGCCTAGAGGCCCAATACCCAGTTCGGGAAGGCCCAAGGTGTCCGGCCCAAGTAACAGGCTCATCACTCTATGATGAAAAGATCCAGTAAAGAGACATACCGAACGGGGTTCGGCCCAAATAAAGGTTGGCCCAATAAGAAGACATACCGAACGAGGTTCGGGCTATATATCATACTTGGGCCAATTTGACAGCATCTTCAGTATGGACCAACATCCCGTTCGAGCAACGGCCAACCAGCAAGTGGCCAGGTGCAGTTAATGCTAGACTATGACATCAGCAAGTGGAAGCATGGATGACCAAGTCGGTGGAACAACGGCCAATCAGCAAGAGGCAACCCATGCTCTCCATTAGTATAAATAGAAGGTTTCAAGTCATTGTAAGGGTTAGCATTTCAATACTCAAGCTCTAGAATAGCATCATTTGCTCTTATTTCTTGTATTAAGGCATAATTTCCGACTTATCGATCGGGAAATCCCTTGTAATCAGATTGGTTAATTAATACAAGTGAGCTTTCGAGTTTTAGTTAGTTCAGATCTTATATTTTCTTTTACGCTTTGATTCTGGGCCATTCCTGATATATCCAAAGTTCGTGTTGGGCTTTCGGATCTACGGGACTTACCCTCAACAACTACTATTCAACAGATGTCATCAACAAATGGACAAGTCACTGCCACCGAAGGCTCTAATCTAACTAAAGGAATAGAATTGGCTAAGTCCACTCAACAACATTTCAAGCAGCAGTTGCCCCCGGCATTTCACTAAACACCGAGGGAATGCACCCAAGCATTGCCTGAGGGCGTATGTCTTTTTCATGCTATTCTTAGACTACAAAATTTGCCAAGTCCACACTTGCGGAACCTGACAATAGCCGAAGGCTATCATAGTCCACACATTACCGGGAGCCAGTCTCACAGGTCAAGGGAAAGTACTCTTGCCAAGGGAAGTCTTCCCTAAAAAGGCCACAAGCCTGAAGGATCCCTTTACCGAAGGCCAGATGATTTTCAGACACTCAGAAACTTCGGTCAACTAATCATACAGCCGAAGGCTAAGTGGCAGGCTAACACTTAGAAAATTTTCTAAGTCCTAAAACGTGTGGCCCTCGGCCAACTCACATTGCAACGAAGGCCACTCCACTTCATACAACAAGGGGTGCCTACTAACCGAGGGCTAGGCAGCTGGTTCATACTTGGAAAAATTTCTAAGTCCTAAGGCTGGCCCCATATCAAATTATCACTCAGCCGGAGGCACACCCATAGGAATACTCTCACAATCACTCGAAGGCTTATATCTCATACTAGCCGAAGGCTCGATGTCTAAATTACACTTAGAAAAATTTATAAGTCCTAAATGGTTTGCTCCCGAGCAACTCAGGAAGGCTACACAGAAACAAATGGGAGCTATCAGCCGAAGGCTGCCAATGATAACACTACACTTAGAAACGTTTTCCAAATCCTAACGATTGGGCCCTCGGCCTAATCATCACGCAGCTAAAGGATCAGGCTAGCCGAAGGCTACATGATGCACTACACTTAGAAAATTTTCTAAGTCCTAATCGTTTGGCCTTCGGCCACATAACCATGCAAACATACTTTCATACACAAAGGAAAAGACGAAGGCATACATTCAAAGGGAAAGTAAATTCATATACTAAAAGCCCGAAGACAGGCATTCATCCATCAACAATAAATGAAACATTCAAAGGGAAAGTAATGGTTACAAAATGGCCGAAGCCGGAGGATCATACATGTTCGTTACAAAATATCCAAGTGCAAATTTTATCAACATCTTCAATGGAGGCATCATCCCCTTCAGCAGCTTTGGAGGTAACCTCTTCTCCGACGGCCTCGCCATCACCGCCCTCGCCGGACTCCCCCATCATCATTGAATCGTGGATCACCGGCCTTTCTTCGCCCGAGGGGAGGGGGACTCTCACATCAGGTTGCAAGGGGGGAAGGCCGTACACTGCTGGATCGAACTGCTCAAGGGGAACGCCGAAGTGCCTAGCAAGCCTCCGGTAAACCAGATGCTGGGTGAAGAATTCACCCCTTGATAGTAGCTATCGCCCCTTTCAGCCATCCAATCAGCCCCAGGGCCCTTCACCCAGCTATCCACCGAAGACTCGACGACCGAGGCCACCCACTGCTGCCGCTCCTCAGTCTTCCAGCCCTCAGCCATGAATGCAGCGATGACATCCTCTTGAGCTTTGGCAACGGCTTCGGCCTTGGCAGACTCCGCTTCCTCAGCAGCTTTCTTTGAGGCCTCAGCGGCGACCCTCTCAGCTTCAAGTTTGGCCTCCTCCACGATAGCTTTCAACCTCTGCTCAGCCCCCTCAGTAGCCTTCCGAAGGTTCTCCTCCAGTTGAGCCATCTGCTTCATAACGTCAGAGTTCTTGTGGATGAGCTCCTTCATCTTCTCATCCTGCTCAGCCTTGTGGAGGCGCCACTGCTCGAGCCTTCGTGCATGCTCTCCGAGGGCTATGCAAGCCTGTTAAACAACGAAAAAAATATTTAGGCGAATATTGAAAATATATTAAGTGTTAAAACAAGGACAAGTGAAAAAACTTACAGTTAGAGAAGATCGGAAGATCTTGCTCTTGAGGGCCTCGTCGTCATAGGTCGAGAGGGCCGCCTTATCCATCACCGAAGTGATCCCCCTCAGGAACGCCTTCGGTTTGGCCGAGCCGTGCATCACGGAAGCTTCCGGAGCAAGGGAAAGTTGCAGAGTCTCCCGGGGAAAGTCCCCCAGGGGAAGGTCCGTCGGAGCTGTCACCGCGGTGACAACCGGGGGCTCGGGAGAGGAATGATCCTCTATGATCACTACGGGGCCCGCCTTATCAGTGACATCCCCGGCAACCTTCTGCTTTTTGATAGGGGGCTCTACCCCCTTGCTGCCCTTCTTCTTCCTCGTGCCCCCCCCCCCCCCCCCCCCCGGCCACATCAGCGACGACAGCCACAACAGAGGGCTGCGGTATCTCCTTCTGAAAGAAGGCCTCAACGGGCTGCTGGCCCGAAGGGTCCTTCTTCTGAGCCTGGGCCTTGCCCTTCTTCTTCTTCAGGGCGAAGAGTTTCCCTGCGTCCATGTTTGCACCTGCGAGACAACAATAAATAATTAGCCAATGTCAAAAGCAGTGAAAATTTCCTAAGTACACAAGTTAAAGCCCCCGACTACTACCTGCAGCTCCCTCGAAGGCTCTATCCAATTCGGGGTACTTCTCATCTATCTCCCCCAAGAAACCATACCGCCGGAACCCGAGGGCATACAGATCCTTCTCGATGGTGCAATCTTTGATAGCTACATTTTTATTGCGCCCCTCCGGGATTATTGCAAGCTTCAGACCATCTTTTTCGAGGGCGACGCTTCTAATCCTCTCGTGGCGCCGAAAGCGGTCCCGCAACTCCCTCGGGAACGGGCTTTCATCCAGTCTGACATAACACCATCGCTCCTTCCAGCCTTTGTTTGAAGAAGGGGCCTCGATGAAGAGTTTCCACTAGGCTATCTGTTGCAAGTTGGCGAACCCCTCGGCATTTGCATGCCCCCCGGCATAAGTTGAAACTTTTGAAGAACAGCTCCAAGCTAGGTGTTACCCCCCGGGACTTGCAGAGATGGAGAAATCCGGCTATGTACGAATGGCTCTTTGGTGTCAGTTGACAGGGGACCAGGCCAACGTACCTGAGATATTCCCGAAGGAACGGGTGCAGTGGAAACCGGAGGCCCATGGACACCGACAAGATGTGAACTGCGATACACCCCTCGGGAGCGCGGGAGAGAACGTCATCAGGTCCCGGTGGCACCACGGTAGCCGAGGGCCCAACGTGCAGCTGGGTGACATAGTAGTTCGCCCCATCAGCCTTCGACTTTATCTCGAGGGTGGCGGTATTAAGGAAGGAATAACCCTCGGGCATATCGACGGGTTTCCCTTGGTCAGCAACGCTGCCCTTCTTCTTGGGAGCGGCAGCCTTCGCCTTCTTCTTCCCGGGGGCTACCCTGAGAGGCGTCGGGTTCAACGGCCGGGAGCTACTCGCCTCCCCTAGACCATTCCGAGGGGGAAGGGCAGCGACGGTGACCTTCATGCTTTCCTTTTGCTCCTCTTCTTCAGTGACTTGAACGGCGAGGGCCAGCTCCTCGTCTTCATTCACTTGCTCAAAGTCCTCCGCCTCAGCCACCAGATCTTTCTGTACCTCCATGGCCAGGGCGGCATCATCACCAGTCGAGGGCTGCTCACTGGTAGACTCCAAACCGGAGATGACTTCATCCTCGACCGAGGGCTCCCTCGAGATGTCTTGGGAATCACTTGCAGACGACATTTTTACTAAGGAAGTAGGGCTCCTAAAGGTTTTCCAGAGAGCTCTAACGCTTAACCTAAGGCCACAAGGCTAAGAATACTAAGGAGCAAAGAGTGAAGCAAGAACTGACCTTTGGGAAGTTTGGTTTGACCGAAGGGGATTCTCTCTCTCTATAAAAATTTTGCCAGCACTTCATTGCAACAAGGATGCGTAAAGGGGAAATGGTCTGGCCTTGGGGTATTTATAGGCGTCCAGATCCGGGCTTGGGCTCGAAAACCAGCCTCCGGTTACAGAATCATCATTACTTACTGTCATTTCGCCCAATCGGTGACGCCCGCCCGCAGACAGCCAGTGGATACGCGCCATGTGGAAGTCCCCCCCAACGGCTATATTTCCGACGTTACACATTCCAACGGCTTTATTACAATGGCTACATTTTGAAATTACAGAGGTACTCTCGGCCTTTCTCCTCATACAACATCACAAGTGCCTTCGGCCTTTCTCCTCCAGGAGCCCACGACTTAACAACGGGTAGACCCCTCGAGAACCTTCATCAACTGTCCCCCCCGGCCACACAACAAGGAAACCCCTCGGGGCATCACGGCCCCCAACTTATCAAAAAACAGGGACCCCTCGACAACACAGGAAATATCACCTACATTCATCGCGCCCTTATTCTCATGAATTGAGGGCTCCCCTTCGGCATCTCCCAGGATATCAAAGCGAGCCTTCGGCGAAGCAACACACGCGCCCTCAGACAAGGATAGCCTTCAACAAGAATACTGCCACACATATCAGACCAGGGTTTCACCTTTTCGATTCATCATTAGGGGAATTCAGTGCACTCTTTTTCCCTCATTAGAATTTTTTCCCACAGGGTTTTTTCTAATGAGGTTTTTTAACGAGGCATCCCCCCAAAATGAAACGAAAAGCGTCACCCCTCGGCTACATATTGCAGGCAAGCATTACTCTACTCCTTTTCACCACTTTACAAGTGCCTCAAGGAGTGGGGGACTGGAGAACCCCTTCGAGAAAAATCTCAAAATACAAAAATATCAAAAAACTCCCACAAATACAAACATGATCCCTCAAGTCCCGGAATGTGGGTAACTGAGGGACTGCCCTCGGCTGAAACATGCAAACAACGAACTACTCACAACTTTACAAACTACAACGGAACAACGGCAGAGGACAAACACAATTACTCCTTTCCCCTCAAGTACCTTTCGGCAAAAGGAGTGAGGGACTCGTGATGGAGTATATGGCCCAGGGACCCCCGGCCCATAGACTCCTACTACTCAAATCAAGGCCCAATAGGCCCAGGAAGCACAACAGGCCCAAATCACAACGCCCTGAGTACCAAGCAACCAACAATTCACACTGGGGGTGCCTTCAGCCCCTTGGCCAAAGGCTCCAGATACTCACATAACGGATTTTTCAGGCATACGAAGACACTGGGAGAAAACGGCGAGAAAACAGTAGCCCTCGGCACCTGGAGCCCTCGACCTTAAGGGGCCTTCGACAGGAAGAGCCCTCGGCAAATCATCTACAGCCGAGGGTACCTTCTTCGACAAGACTATCCTCTCCACATGCGCCTGGGTCGCCGTACCAAATACAACGTCACATCCAACCGCCGCATTAAATGCGGCCACATGCGAATGCCAGTGACACCCGGTTGATGTGACCCCTCAGCCGTTGGATGCTTGACACGTGTCCCCGTCTCGCATTTATTACTACTATAAATAGCACCACATTTCCCCTTTGTAAACTAGATTCGGAATACGCTTTGAACTCATATATTCAATACACTTTCTCTCTCTTACTTGCTCTGACTTCTCTCTAGTTACTCCCTACAGTAACCCTTCAGATACATACCCCGAGTAGACTATCCATCACAACCCTTGAGATATGTGGGCGTCAAGTAACTTTCTCGGTCATCTCAACAGGAGCTGAGAAAATGTTTGCGGGAGACATGTATCTTAACAAGTGCCTAATTTTAAAGAAGTTGTGAGAGACATATATCCAAATAAGTTCACAATATTAAAGATTTTATGGGACATATATCTTAATAAGTGCAGAATTTTATTTCCTAATCTCTAAATTGATCAAATGTACAACAATTTTGAACCAAAAAAGCTTTCATAAGCAAATTAAAACTTAAAAGGGTTGTCCGGTTCAAATCCGGTTTCCCGGTCCATCTTATTTTTTAATATGGTCCGGTCTTTCCATAGCGTGATACGGTGATAGCGAGAAAAAAACAGGTCGGATTTCAATTCCGTAAATTAACCCGAATTCAAAAAACAACTTTACATCCGTATTTCCCCAACTCATTCTTGCCGTAGTCTGGCTTCGCTATCTCCCTGAATCAGAGTTGAATCTCTTGTTACTAAACCCTAACCCCATCATCCCACCATCAACGCATCCACACTCTTCCAGTTTCGACCACAAAAATTGAAGTTTATTGGATTTTTCGATACTCCGCAGTTTTCCTGGATTTCGGAAATCTTTTTGACGAAGCATAAGCAACTAGGTTTTGTTGCGTTTGCGTGAATTTAAGCTTCAATCTGGCTATGGACTACGGGGCTTACGACAGCAGTGGTGAGTAGTAATTCTCTTCGCATGACAAAAGATACGATTTTTGAAGAAATCTTGTAGGGTTTCGTACTTTATCTACATGCTTGTGATTTGTCGAATACTTTTAGATACAATTCTCATTTTTAGTAGTCAGTAACTCTATATGAACATGAAAATTTATTGAATTGTGGATATGTGTGTGTTTTAAAAATGTCTGTATGAAATTCCTACTTTTGTGAAGTTCTGAAATTCTTCGCAGAATAGTATAACTGGTTATTGCTAATGTGCGAGTACGACACTGGTTTGATTTTTTTTATTAAGTGTAGTTTTTGGTTGGTTCAGAAAAAAGTGACTTCACATGCATACTCGAGGATATCAAAGATTTTAAAGCCATTTGGTTGATTGTTTTAAAATGCAAGTATATGGGACTTTTCAGAAAAAAAGTGCTTTTATTATACCATGTAAAACGTTTTATTTGTGGAAATTGTAAGAAACAAACACTTCAAATGAATAGAATGTATTCATAGTTTTTCTTCGCTGTAGGGACCGATGACGATCTTCCACCCTCACATCAAAATAGAATTCCCAGAGGTGGCCGAGTTTCTGGTAATGGAAGATCTGCTGCTGTCATGCCTTCTATCCCTTATCCTAAAGTGTATGGAGAAACAGAGATGGAGGCTCAAATTCACCAGCTTGAGCAAGAAGCATACAGTTCAGTTCTTAGAGCTTTTAAGGCTCAGGCTGATGCCATTACTTGGGTATACATTCCTATTATATTCTGTATTCTGGATCTAATATTTTGTAATCTTTGTTTGATCAGGGTTTTTAACTAGTCCTCATTAAATTGTGTTTTCTTCTTCAGGAAAAGGAAAGTTTGATAACGGAACTAAGAAAAGAACTGAGATTGTCAAATGAAGAACACAGGGAACTTCTTGGTAGAGTCAATTCCGATGATGTTATTAGAAGAATACGGTTAATTCCTTTCCCACTTCCTTTAGGATATGTTTTGAACATGGCAAATGGTAGACAAAAGTGTGTAAAGGAAAATAGTTTCTTTTTAATGTTTGATACTACCTCCGTCCCGCTATGATTGTCCCGTTATACCTTATCGGTCTGTCCCACTAAGATTGTCCCATACCAAATTTGGCAAAGTTTGTATGGCTCTAAATCATTCTTACTTTATTCTTACTTTATCAATTCAATATCAACCACATAAACCACTTTGTATTGATTTGCGTGCCACTCCCTCTTGTCACATTGTTAGCGGGACGGAGGGAGTATTACAATACAAAGTATGTAGAAAAACCAATCTGGTCAAGCTTTTAAAAATAGGATTTAGATTTCTTAGTCTAGGTTACACACGTGTGAATATCATACTATATGTATGTGTCTGAGAATGATTTTGAACGTACCTTAAATTTAACTGTTGTGTTTTATCTCATTTTTAATCCATCTATCCTAAATTACACCTCTATTTTCCTCCATTATATCTTTCCCTAGAGTTTTCCAGGTTCCAAACAAACCCTTCTCTCTCTGTTTATTTGTCATTTTGAGTCCTTGGTATTGACATATTACTGAATTTTAACTATCTTTTGTTATTGCGAAAATTGCTCTCCTAAATGTCACTTCCATATACCCATATTTTACTTCTCTAGCATTTCCCTGGTTCCAAACAGACCATTGATTCTGAGATCTTGGTGTTTACGATTGTCTGTTTGATTAGGGAGTGGAGACAATCTGGTGGGGTTCAGCAAGGGATAATGAGCGCTGGTCAAGCTGTTCATGATCCAATACCCAGTCCTTCAGTTTCAGCTTCTAGAAAGAAGCAAAAATTACCCCCTGCTTTGCCATCTCAGTCCTTTGGCCCATCACCCACTTTTCACCCACCGCCCGTGAATACTCAGAACCAACCATCTTCCTCAGCTCCGAAGAGGGGGCCTATGATGGGGCCCAAGGGAAAAAAACATAAACCTGTAAGCTGAATTTTGTTCTTGTAAAGATTATCTGGTTCTTTTTAATTAATGCTGTCTAACTTTTTGATCGGACAGGTGCTGCCTGGAACAAAAATGCAATATCCTCCATCTGGAAGAGGTCAGTTTGGCAATCGGATATCCCAACCCGCTGAAGGAGCTTCATATGAATCAGTGGTAGGGAGGAAAGTGAAAACCAGATGGCCTGATGACAATAATTTCTATGAGGCTGTAATTACTGATTATAACCCAGCTGAGGTAACCCTCATTTACATTAATCTTGTGTTTTTCCCTCTCTTCACGACGTTGCTTTTGCATAAGGGTTGAAAATGGATGGATTAGATAAATTTTGTATTTGTATGATAATGGATGGATATAACAATCCATTTAAAACCCATTGAAAAATCAATCTATCAGTAAGTCATTCAATAGATCCATTCTTTTATGAATACTTAATTTATATAGAGATATTGAGCAATTCATAATATACAAGACTTTAGTTGATATATAGCAATTAAGCAAGAACTAAACTGTTCCTAAATAAGAAAATTTCAAAGGTTCCTGTGGATTTAGAAAATCTGTAAATTATAATCCAATGGATTTCAAAAATGAATGAAATCACTAAGCATCCACACAATATTATTTGATTGACTGGATCCAATCCAATACTATTTATTACCCAATGGATGTACCGGATGGATAGCGAATAAATTGAATGTTTTTTCACCCCTGCTTTTGGAATGGTAAATGGTAATTATTTGTTGACCCTATTCAGGGACGACATGCTCTTGTTTATGACATTGGGACCGCAAGTGAGACATGGGAATGGGTGAATCTATCAGAGGTAGGTAAATGCATGAGATATTTACATATGTTTGTTTTTTGAAAAATCCTTTTCATTTTAGTGTGTGGTCCAAACATCATGAAGGCATACCGGTGATGTGGTAAACACTTTTATCATTTTTGACATCATGTCATATCGTATTTCCTATGGATAAGCTTACTTTTTTTTGGCAATTCGCCATGGTCAAACATGGTCCAAAGTTGCATGAAAAATTGTCTTTAATAGACTGCAAAGATAGAATAAGCATATCAGTGGACACACCTTCAATTTATGCTTTAGCCTTAAGAGTAGTACTTGTCTCCTATCTAATACGGGAATGCAGTCTCTTCCTTTCTTAAGATTTCTTGGGGGTTTAGGCTTAGATTTTTGCCTTACAGATTTCTCCAGAGGATATACAATGGGATGAGGGGCCAGGCCATGTAGTTAACAGAACAATGGTACGTGATAGTGCCCCAGGTGTGGGAAGAGGCCGCGGGTTGACTAAGCCTCAATCCAGAAAAGAGTTCCCACCATCACAGAATGGTATTGGAAAGAAAGTCGTGGGTGATATTCAGTTACTTCACACAGATACATTAATCAAGGAGGTAAGATAACAAAAAGTTTATAGCTATGCCATGTTTTCTTTCATTCCACATGATCTGATGCGTTAATAACCCAATTTGGCCCATGTGACTTAAGTGGGGCTCAGGGACAGTTTTAGTGTTACCCATGTAGTTCAAATAATTGTTGGGCCAGAAAAATAATCTGTTCATGTTCACCTGGGTAGCTAGATTGGCCAACCAGGCTCGGGCTTATTTCAACATTTGGTGATGTGAGCACATTAACTGATTAAAGTGTCTTTATGGTTGTTTGCATAGGCCATTTTCCTCACTTCAGATAACTCCTCACCTTTCCTGATTTCTTATTTATGCTAAATTCATTGGTTTCGGGTCAGGTGGAAAGGGTATTTAGTGCAAGCAATCCTGATCCTCTAGAGGTTGAAAAGGCAAAGAAAGTGCTGAAGGTCAGAATTAATTGTATCCTATCATTACTGATATTTCTTTTTTTAGTTGCACATCAGCTGATGCTTAACTGTGTTGTTTAATGCAGGAGCATGAACAAGCACTTATAGATGCTATTTCAAGGCTAGGAGAGATGTCAGACTGTGAAAATGGTAAATTCACTTTTAGCCACACTTACTGTCGTGAAATTATATCCCCCCTACTGTATAATTGATGTCAAATTTCAGCCTTTTCATTTACCGTCTCTACTCTTATGGGATCTAAGTTCTTTATACATGGGTTGGTGGATTCTCTAATGTTATTCACAGTTTCCTATCCAGCACGTTTGTCCTTTGATTGTTGAATTACTGCTGTTATAATAAGTTTAATCACCTAGTTCGCTGGTGGTTTGACTTTAACACATTTACTAAGATTGCTAGAATTTTGTGGTTTAGGTTTATTTAGAGAGAACCTGCATAAATGTTCACCAAGGACTGCATAAATGTTTTAGCTTTATTGTTTTTTCTTCTACGTTGTATCTTTTCTTTCCTTGTATGGTTGCAACTGATTAATACCTTTTGCACTTTGTTTAAGCTAATGATTCTTGAATCCGGTTTTCCAGATGAACGTGGACATTTCATGCATGGACAAGAATGATGAAGTGTTAATTTAAGCTGTAGCGTTGTAGTAGTAGTGTCAAGGGATGAGGTGGGGGTGGATTATTTAATTTAAAAACTTGTAGTGTTATAGGCACAATGGGAGAAGAATGACAAGCCCTTTTGATGAGCTTTGTAAAATGGCATGTTTGTATAATTGCCCACCTTCAATTGTAACTTTACTAATTACAAATAACAAAATGATTTAGTTCGCAACTCAAGACTAATTAGTACCGTTACTGAGTAGATCTTGTCCATTACTCGCATGGTGTTTCATTAGTTTTGTGATGTAAAAGCGAGCTAATTCTACAATTGTTTAACTATAGTCCAGACCCCAAAGAACTCCCAGTTAGCGTATAACTTGCCATGAATCCTATTGCTTCTTTTTACCTCCTGGAACGTTTTTTTGGTCTTTTGAAATCCTCATCATTGTTAGCATCGGTTATTACATCTCTCCCCCTCGCTCGAGGGCGCCCCATGTTCTTCTTAGTAGCAAATTTCTCCTCTGACTTTTTTGTTCTAATTTCCCTTGTTGTGCCCTCGATTCTCTTCTTCTTCAACTGCCGCTCCTCTCCCCTTCCACCTTTAGAATCGCCTGAAAACTTCTTTGATGGTGTCTCCATTGTGGAACTCCTCTTGATTCTTTTCAAGAAGTCTGCTGCACCACTTTTCTTCTCCATCCTGCTAAAACTGCCACCTTCGTTCTGATTCGCCACGATTATCTTTCCAACTTCGTCTTTGTTTGTGCTGTCAGCATGACTTTTTGTTGCCCTCATGCCCCTAACGCCTGTCACATGTGGAGAAGGTGGTGTAGCTCCTTTAGTTACTGATATGGAGCTCCTCTTGCGGCAAACTACAATGGGAGCTGCTGTGGTGTTGAGATTGCGCCTTGCAAGCAAGTAACTTGGTGTATCCAATTCAGCTTTGGGTCGAACCTTGGCGGTGGATATGGATGGATGCATCATTGATGTTGGTGCATTTTTCTCTTGCATGGTCTTGAGCTTCTTCATTACGAGGGCCCGGAGTTCATGGGCTGCGATGGATTCTGGCGATGACTTGGGGAAGAAGACAACAGCGTTGTTGAAGAGAAGTAAAAGATCCACGTAGAATTTGGTGGAGCAAGAAGCGTAGGATCCGTCATCTACCCGGGCTTGGACCGTTTCAAGATCCACGTGATTCCGGACAGTTCTATTGTACTTCTCTGTTTTCTGCATCGTTCCAATAAAATATGGGTTGGCAAAAGATGTACAGATCCATTTGTTACGTGCAAAAGATTAAAGTTCCCAAAGTGAATTAATAGCGTGACGAGATAACAAAAAAGTGGCCATATTTAACTTTTGATATGTTGAATTAACTTTTTAATTATTACTATTACTTAATTATGGATCTAAATCAGATGAATGCACAATGCACTAGTCAATTAATACGGACTAATTCGACGCGCAAACGTAATGATTACGGAATACAGAGTATTCGGCTATTTTTTTTATTTTTTTTATTTTAATATTTTTTAAAAATATTTTAGATTTTTTTTTAATATTTTAATAGGATCAAATAATGCCCATTTTAGAATTAATTAGATTAGGGATACCAAGGATAGAAAATTAATGTTTACTCCTATTGAGAGAAGTTTTAATTTTTACTCCTATTTGTGCAATTATGTTTATGTTTACTCCTATATTAGGCAATTTGTATTAAAATAATACTATGTAAAACTCCTATTTAAATATTGTTATAAATAATAATTATAGTTTCTCCAAAAAATTATTGTCATATAATAGTAAATGCAGAGTAATGTATTGTACTATCTCCGTCCTTTAAAATTTTGTCATATTTAACCTTTCACATCAATGATGATAATGTTTGGAAAATGATTTTAATTAATATAATATTATGAAGGAATTTTATCAATTCAGGACCTGGAAGGTAGATGAATTATCAATCCAGGACCTGAAAGATGAAATGTATCATTATAGGACCCGAATAATGGAAAACTATCAATTTAGGACCTAACTTTTCATAAAATTTATTATTATTTTTTATTTTAAAAAATTTAAATAATATTTAGTTTTATTAAACTAATAAACTTTTGTGAAGAAAGTTTGACAAAATATTAGCAATGGAATTAATAAAAAATTAAATAAATGAAAACTTATGAAATGTTAGGTCCTAGATTGATAGTTTTTCATCTTTCGCGTCCTACACTGATACATTTCATCTTTCAGATCTCAGATTGATAATTTGTCTATCTTTCAGGTCCCAGATTGATAAAATTTCTATTATGAAATATATAAATTTTATACTTTTATGAAATATTTAATAAAAATACTTTCACATTATTTTTATATTATAAATAATTTTCTATAGAAATACATAATTAGTCAACGTTGAACATAGTTTTAAAAGACAGAAAAGTTTTAAAAGTATTGAGGAGTATAACTCAACAGGCAAATCATAGAACTTGCGGATTATTCGGACATACGTAGTAGATTTTACTTTGGGACCACAACAAGTAGATGGTGAAATATATCGTCCATCTTTTGTTCTTTCAACATTAGTATAATGACAAAAATAAGAATGACATACAGAGTATTTAGGACATGCTTTCTTAGAGATTATGTTTTCTAGTTACAAAAATAATACAGAGTAGTAATCACGGTATAATATGGGAAAATTCATACAATAGGAGTAAACTCTTTGACATTCGTAAATTATTGTACTGTATATATATATACACATATATTTATGGTGAATGCTCCGATACAAATAAAAATCAAGGATACCATAATCATCATTCATTTGGTTGGTAAATTATTCAATTGTTCCATTGGAACAATGTAAGATACTTTGAGATTATTATATAATTTGCCATGTTTTTCTTTTTTAAATAATTGTAATTACTGCCAAACTAGAACAATGTTGACGTCTTTAAAATCTAGTAACGTCAAAACTTGACATTAATTTTAGAATTCAAACATTTTAATCCTATTTAGAACAATTTTTGTAACAATAATAGTAGAAATAATAATACCACGTAACACTTATAACAACCATAATGGCAAAATAATACCAGTACTACAAAAGAACGCTCCCTCTGTCTAGGACTGGACTCGGGGCAGGCCAACCGGCCCGGAACCGGACCGGCCCGGTGAACCGGTTGGTTGACCGGTTCGGACCACCCGGCCCGGTGGGATGGCGGTTCGGGCTCGGGCCCTTCAAAAGGTGAACCGGCCCGGCCGGTTCGGCCCCGGGCCGGGCCAATTTATTATTATTATTTTTTTTGAATTTTTTTTAAGTTTTTGGGTTGGGCTGGATATTTTAGGCAATTTGAGGTGGTTAGGGTTGGTTTGGGAGTGAGGGGGGAGGATTGGGGGTTAACTAGGAAAAGCCAAAAAAAAAAATCAGAACCGAGGCCCGGCCCGGACCCGGGGGTTACCTGGGCCGGTTTCGGGCCTCCCCTTCATGAATCGAGGCCCGACCGGGCCCAGGCCTGAACCGGGCCCGAACCGGAACCGGTCCACCCCTACCTCTATCTCACAAAATATGGTCAAGTTTGACAAACTTTTGCGTGTAGAACAATAAAGTAATATTTTTGTTATTGTGTTTTATACCAAGGAAAATAATTTGAACCACAAACAGTGAAATTATTATTTTGAATGGAAGTGACAGTTTTTTATTTGACCGAGAGAGTAATGTTTTAAAATTGAACCAATATTTTCTTATTCAATCTTCTTAAAAATGATCAGATAAGGTTGGTTTCGATTTAATCTATTTTAGCATTTTAATAATAACAATATTACATTACTGTTACCCATAATGATAGCTAAATAAGAATGACAACACGCCATATCTTGTACATACGTAACTTTATCATCAAACTCTGTCATTTAGAATATTTTAGAGTCATTTCTTATAACTTTTATAGTGTTGGGGCTGAAAAAAAATTTTCAGGAGGTTCAAAATACTTTTTGGGAGGGAGAAAATTATTTTTCATATATATATATAAACTAAAAAAAATTGTTGGGGGGCCGTAGCCCCCTAGGTCTCTACTACCCCTTGGTCTCTACTACGGTCCGCCCCTGGTGTTGTAACTATTAAACATTTAAACCTATGGGCTATACTGCTATAGCAATACTAAAAAAAAACATACGACGTTATTTAGAAGTATGTTCATTTTTATACACTTAATTGTTAAATGTATTTATGAAACGATGGAAGGACTCAAGGACATAATCTAGTTTCGTGTATGTTAACCGTTTTTTTCAAGGTTTATGTTAACCGTCTGAAAACAGATAATATTGAGGTTTCGCAGTAGCGGCAATTAAATCACTCTCTGATATTTTGATGTCGTGTTTTTTTATATGTTTTCCCTACTTTGTACTACTTCTGAACTTTGCAAAGCTATACTACTAGTAATTAATAAGCTAAAAGTATTTCTTGGTGGAAATGAATGAAATCATGTTTTTAGCCTCTTATTCATATACTCCACTTTATTTTACGAAAAAATATATTTTGAATATTTATAATTAATGATTTAGCCAAAACTTCTAGCAATTTAAAAAAAAATCAGCCTTTTCAATTTAAAAAACTTGTACGGATACTGCAAAAATGATTTGTATTTAGGACTATCAACAAAACTAATACCAACTCCATCCTCATTTAGTTTTTATTACAAAATAGGACCGGGTTTTAAATAATACTCGTAATTGAATAAGGTAATTTGACTATACTTTGACAAATAATTTGGATGAATATATAATATAATGGTTAGATGATGATAACTGTGATATTTTAGGTGATTTATTTTTAATATGAGATGATTAAATTATTATTTAAGAAATGAGATTGTTAACCTTAACCTCATACGGAAGTAATGCAAAATGCGGAGTACTAGGAAGCATAGTTTCTCGATTTATAAATTATAATTATAAACACTACTCCATATTAGTATCATAATTATAAATTATAAATATAAATACGGAGTAATATATTATATACATAGGTTATTATGAGCCATGAGGAAGATTTTGACTTTTATCCATACTAAAAGTCTAAAATGGAGCTATGCTGTACTTTTAATTAATTTTCGTACATTTTATATCATTTTATTATGAGCCGTGATGTACTTCGTATACTCCCTGTCCCTAATAACTTTGACAAGTTTGACTGACACGAGAAACCATAAAGTAAAAACTGTGTGATTGAGGATTGTATAAAGGAGAGAGAATGAACTGGAACCACAAATTCTTTACTTAAAAAGAAAGTGTCAAAGTTAGTGGGACATCCAAACAAGGAAAGTTTGGCAAAATTATAAAGGACGGGGGGAGTAGTTTATATGAGAATTTAACTAATCAACTTGATTGGTTTTCTTAGCAATGATTATTAGCCTGTTTTTATAATACGCATTTTAGTTTATTCAATGAATTTCGTTTCATCACACTATCCAACTTTTGCTAAGCCATTTACCTATACTCTCCGTCCTTGACCAATTTTTATTTATCGTCCCATAAAACTTTATTATTTTCGTTTAAAATAAAAACTATATGACTAAAATTATTTTCTCTCTTTTACGCAAATTATCTACGTAAAGTCAACTTTTGTCAAGTTTGGCAGGACGGAACGAGTATAACACGACGGTTGAAGAGTTGCAATTAGGTGGAGTGCTCATTTTGGAGCTTTAAAGTGGTCCGGCAAGATTGAAATCACCTTCAATCAACGGTAGATCTTTCCTAATTTATATTGCGAAGCAGATGATTATTACCTGAATCTGGAGCCGTCTCTTGAACACCCTGCCATACTTATGCGACCGGATAACATCTAAAAGAGCAACCAACGGCTCTGATTTATTCGAGCTGGCCCGTTTCATGACGATGGCGGGAGATGGCGCAACCGTCTGCTCACCGCCGCCTCGCTTCCGACGCTTCTTCGTGAAGTTGGCGGAGCTTTCCACGTCACCTCCCTCCTTTGTCACGTCATTGGACACGTCGTCACCGTTACTTTTCCGACCGGTATTGGAAATCTCGTGCCGGTTCAAACTATCTATGCACGAGTCTTCCCCGGTCGGCTTTTCCTGCAAGACCGGTTTCGCGTGGACCGGATCGGGTTTACACCTGTCCTCTGTTTCCGTATTCTCAGCGGAATTCGACTCGTTAACCGATCGGTTTTCATGGTCAGAATTCCCGCCGGAGACGACCTCTCCTATTTCATCTCCATCGCTGCTCCTCCCATCGGTTGCTAAATTCTTCTTCCCGCTCTCTGCTAGATCTGGTTCAATGGCAATCTCTTGCCCATCCTTCATGCTCCGCTCTCTCTCCTCCAGCATCCGCTTTACTTTCGACTGCAAAGACCTGCTCAGATCAAATCTCATCGTCAGATCCGCGAACAGAAGATTTTCCACGTATAAGGAATTAAAAAAAACGCAGAGGTCTGTTTACTGGATCGAGAGATCGTGGCGATGGACCTCTTGCCTGAGCTCGGCGACGCGGAGCTCTCTCAAGTCGTCGAGCCACGGAATAACGACGTCGCCGCCGCCGTCCTCAATATCGACAGCCGCGTGGCCGTTCGTAAACCGGCGTTGGAGGTCGCGATATTTCTCTCTGCAAATTTGAGCTGTGAGGAGAGCGGGCAAGGAGCTCCGGCTCTGGAGCTCCAACGCCACAGCATCCCAGTCGTTGATCCCATGGCGCTTCACGGAGAAAGCGAGTAGGAGTTCCTCCCAGGTACTCCATGTCGTTTTCTTCTGTGCCTCTGCAATATTTGACATCACAATTACACCTAGCTTTTTATCCTGAGATTTATGATCTAACCGTAGTTTCGTGTGGATATATGTACAGTTTTTTGTAAATATTCAACCACTTTAAGTCCGATTAGGGTTTATTCGCCTCTGGTTTAATTTGTATGTCGTCTTCGTCGTTCTCTAAAATAAACAACTTTTCTAGATAAAGCTTCGAAATCTTTGTGGGTTTTTAAATAGGAAGAGAAGATCGATCGGTTTTGGGTTTTGCTTGGTGGGTTTTATACTTCCAGCCATGGGCCTATTGCCCTGATCTCCTTATTTATTAGTCGGACTTCGTTTTTAACAGTGTTTGACTATATTGCCCCTAGGCCTGAATCGTTTTTTCCTTGCAAGAAAACAATTTATACTCCGTGTTACCGCGTATTACGGAGTATTATCCTTGTTCTATTTTTTTTTTTGGAAAAAACAAACTCATCATATTAAAGAATCTATCGTTTGCCACATGGCATACAATGAAATCAGGTATATGATCAAAATAGCATCTATGATCTGAGAGGGACAAGGTCGCCCTTGCAATAGCATGAGCTACATGATTCATAGATATTTTACAAAAAAGAGATACTAAGATTACTCTTTGTTTTAATAAGGTGTTCAATGTCATCAATAAGCAAATCAAGATACGTGCTCCCTTCCCCCTTTTTAATTCCTTGTACCACTGTGAGGGCATCTGATTCAACCTCAACCCGCTCCTACAATAGCTTCCCGTATTCCAACCGCTTCAGCTTCGGCTGTGGACCAGTTCGCCTGACATGACTCGCTATAGGCTTTGATAAATTCACCCTAATCATTTCTTGTGATCCAACTCCAAGCTCTAATACCGTTGATGTCATTAATGGCTGCATCAACATTTATTTTGATGAAACCCTCTCTCGGTTTCTTCCATTTTTTCCATGCCATGCCCTCTAGTTGACAGCTTTCCCGCTACGGTTTTTTGTGCATCTCTCCAACTTAGCAGTGTAAGGAATATATTGTTTTAGATTTTGATGATGCTAGAATAATTAGGATATTAGAGTACCTCTTAGAAAATTTGTATCACATTCACCCATCAAAAAGTTAAGATTTAAATAAATATAAATAATATGAAAATTAAAGAGTATTTATCTTTTGATGGGTTGAAATATATTGGACTGACTGAAAAGAATAATATCCAGCTGATTCCTTTGGGCCCATTCTAATTTGTGAAAAAGCGTTGATTAGTGCTGCCTAACCCATATTCATTTCCTCAACATTTAGGTCTGAGAGAAAAAGGGTCTCCTGCTGTTGGCCTTTGATGACATACGGAGAGCCGGGGATGCACACTGCCTTTGCTGCCGTCGGAAATGGAGGCGAGAGAGTTAGACGGCGGCCGTCGGTCAGAAGGAAGATGCATCACGGCCGCAGTCACTATCGGTGGAGTGAGGGCGAAGAGTGATCGCTGACCACTTCCGCCAGTCAAGCCCTGCTAATCCTCACGCACGGAATGGAATGCTGGACGCTTGGAAACATGCATGGTCGTCGTTGCTAGTCATCGCCGGAGAGTGGAAGAGGGTTTGCCGGAACAGCAGGTGCTTGTGTCGCTTCCCCCAGGGTCACAGCTGTGCGACACGGCTCTACATGACTAAATATGCCTTCGTTGGTCACTGGAATGAGCTAAGGCGGCTCCCATGCATAGCAATGCAAGCTGGAGCGGACTGACAGAGGAAAGAGGGGCGAATAGAGGCGTTGCTACGAAGCTGGAGGCCGTATCGAGATGACGGTGCCGTCGTTGTGCAGTGCGGTCTAGCCGAGGAGCTGAGCCAGCAAGCTTTCCTTTTCCAAATCTAGAAGTTCCAGACCCCAATCTGGAAGCTACGGCAGGCGGCTCACGGCAATTGACGAGATCCATGGAAGTGGTGGCCAGCTGGCGGAAGCGGTGCTAGATCAGAAGCAGGGTAACACGAACGGGGACACAGCTGTGGGATGACGTTTGCTCCGGCCAGGTCTGGGAAATCCCATATCTCCAATTCCCGATCTGTTCTTCCTGGATTTGTTTTTTGAATTTTCCAGAACAGTTTCTTGGTTGAATCTTTGTGATATGGTTGAATTTTTTTGGTTATTTTTGGGAGGTTTTCTCACTTGATTGTGTTCAAGCCTCTCAACGAGAGCACCATTTGATGGATAATCAATACCCATATTGTATAAATTAGGAGAGATGAACAAAGAATTTAGAAGTAGATAATGTATAGAATGGATGAAAATGTTTTTTATGACTTTCTGTTTACAAGCCTCCTATAAGGAGTATATATAGGCAAATTCGGGTCTGGGCCTCTAATCTGGGCCCAACAGACCCTGTTACATAAATGGACTAATAGTATAAAAAGCTAATCTAGTACATATAATGAATATGTAAACTATGCAGTAATATAAATGTTGTCTGCCGGTGTGCGTGAATTGCTGTCCAGGCCCAATAGTCAGCAGACCGGGGGGTCGGGGTTCATATACTCCATCAGATCCTTTACAAGCTTAGTGGAAGAGTGATTTAGAAGAACAAGTTGTTCCTTGAATCACTATAAAAATCTCTGGTGTCATTTACCTATTGCACTTAATATCTCTTCTTAGGACTTAACTGATTTTCCCTTAAAGACTTGGACTTCGTGTTTAACTGATTTTCCCTTAAAGACTTGGACTTCGTATTCAACGAATTTTGTCCTAAGGGAAAAATAGAAAGGCAAAACTACCTTGGCATTTTGGTGAGGCTACCCGACCAGAATACCATCCGTTGCAGGTCAGTTTTGTTGAACTAGACCAACTCTGTGACACTTAGTGTTTTTCAGAAAGAATTTTTAAAAGACCAGAACTGTCTATGCACCCTCCTTCTCTAGACTGTTTCTATGACCCATAAGCAGCATACTAATTGTTGTATTAATTACCGCTGAAGTCCCCTGCAATTCATCCTTCCAAACCTGGTTATTACGACGCTTCCATAAGCTCCACAGAAGCATAATAAAATTGCAGCAGTCATCCTCTATAGGCGCCTCAAGTGTAACTGTTAACCACTTCTTGAAGGTCCCTGCAGTCCCGCCAAAATTCCTCCCGCCAGCTGTCCAAACTTTCTTGACCTTCTCGCATGATCGCAAGGCATGTTCCACTGTCTCCTCCTCCAGACAGCAAAGACAGCAAGTCATTTGGACTGGCACTCCTCTCTTACAAAGATTTACTAACGAGGGTAGCGAGCCATCTAAACCCTGCCAAATAAAATACTTCACCTTTGGAGGGACTTGAAGCTCCCACATGCATGACCAACCTCCCCAAACCCCCGCATCAGACCACCCGGTCAACGCCTTATAACAACTCTTTATTGAAAACAGCCCATTTGGTTCCCCCATCCACCAATACTCATCCTCTCTATCCCTCAAACTTATGAGAATGCTAAAAATCTTTTTGCTATCTTCCGCATTAAAAAAAGAAAGAACTCTCTCCCTATTCCAATGTTTGCCTGTCTCATCTCATAAAGCCGCTACATTCATATCCATGATACCTGTCGGTTTGCTGATTGGACCCGACCGATTCTCGGCCCTGATAACCAAGTAACCGCCCAAACTTGAATATTCACACCATTCCTAGCTTGCCTTCCGATATTATTCTTCAACACATTCTGAGATTCCAAAATACTATGCCATATAAAAGAAGAATTATTTCCCAACTGGGCATCTAAAAAGCTTGAGTTTGGAAAGTACCGAGCTTTAAATACTCGACACATACGACTCCTAGAATTTGTTCTCACCTTCCAGTCCTGCTTAGTCAGCATAGCCAAACTAAATTCCCTTAGTTTTCGAAACCCTAAACCTCCAAAACTCTTCGGTTTGCACATACACTCCCATCTACGCCACCTCATACCCTTTTGGTTAAACTTTGATCCCTTCCATCAAAACCCATTCATGACAGTTTCAATCTCATCACACAACCCTCGAGGTAATAAAAAACATTCATCATCGCTTGAATCACATGACGAAGTAAAACCGCCCGAACCGCTTTCGAGAGAAATCTTTTATTCCAACTTTTAATTCTGTTAATAATTTTATCACGTAAGTAACCCTGAATAACAGTCTTACCGTTCCCCACCAGAGCAGGCAACCCCAAATATCTATTCCGACCTTCATTTTGTGGGACCCCCAATTAGCACTACAATCTTCCGAATCAGCTTGCCCACATTTGAGCTAAAGGATATATTTGACTTAGCATAATTAATCGCCTGGCCTAACATTTGTTCATAATCCTGCAACATCTGTTTAACTGCAGTACATTCACTGTTAGAAGCCTTGAAACAAGGAAACTATCATAAGCAAATAAAAGATGGGATACTCGTGGTGCCCTCTACAATCAGCCACCTTGTGTATATCCCCTCTCATCTCTGCTTTCATCAACAAAGCACTCAAACCATCAGCCAAAAGAATAAAAAGGTACGGGGAAAGAGGATCTCCTTGTCGTAATCCCTTACCTGGAATACTCAGACAATGAAAATCCCCATCAAACTGATCATAGTAACTTGTCATCGACACACATTCCATAACAATATTTATCCATCGCCTGTCAAACACCATGCGAATTAGACAGTTACGGAGAAATGCCCAATTCACCCTATCATAGGCTTTACGCATATCCAACTTTAAAGCAACAAAACCATCCTTACCATAGCTTTTTCGCTTATGATAATGTTGAGTTTCAAAAGCCACCATGATATTATCCACAATTAATCTTCTTGGGATAAAAACACTTTGATTTTTTCCAACCAGGGAGTCTAACATACCTTTTATCCTATTAGCAATAACTTTTGGAAAAAATTTATAAACCACATTACAAAAGGCTATAAGTCTCCAATCACCCATGTCCTCTGATTTATCCCTTTTAGGAATGAAAACAATATTAGTAATTTTTAATTCCCTAGGAATAATACATGTCTAAAAAAGGAATGAGCAAACCCTAGATACCTCTGGTCCCACAATATCCCAAAAGTCTGGGAAAAGGCCAGATTCATCTCATCTGACCCGGGAGCTTTGTTTGGATGCATATAAAAAATAGCAGCTTTTACCTCTTCTGGGGTTATTGGCTTGAGAAGTGAACGATTCTGATCTTCTGGGACTTTGTAAAAAGTTCCAATTCCTCGTGTAGAGCCGTCTCACCATTTGCTTGAAAAAGGTCTGTAA